TCACTGGCTTTATCTTTCTTCCTTATGTACTTCTGTATTGTCAGAATGTTTTTTAACCATGTAGATAGCTTTTCTATTTAGAAAAAAAATGAAAATAATTCTCTCGTTAACTATTTGCTTAGTGAAGTCCCTAATATACATACACACACACGTATATAAAATAAGCCTCTACAACACACCATTTCAGTAGTTGCATAGTGTGGCTATGTCATAATTTGCTTACACAATTCTCTATTATTGGATACTTAGGTTGTTTCCAAATTTTTGCTACTTTAAACAGAACTTAAATGGACATCTTTGTGGCTAAATATTTTCACATAGTTTTTGATTATTTCCTTAGAATACATTCCTGGCAGTGACCTTGCAGGCCCACAATGTGGGCACAATGAAGGACTTTGGGCCCATATTGCAAAATGATCCCATTGAAAAGTCAGTGCCAATTTACCTTCCCAACTGCAATGTATGGATAGTATTTTCCCTTCACCCAACCCTGAATATTATCAACTTGTGCCAATTTTTACCAATTTGGTAAGCAAAATAATCCATCATCATTTTTATTTGTATTTCTTTAATGATGAAGATAACATCATTTCTATTCACTTACTGGCTATTTATTATTATTGGGTGACCTGTTTATTGATATCTCTTGCCCACTTTTCTACTAGAATCTTCTTCTTTCTGAATTGTAGGAGTTCTTTACATAAGATTGGCTTTTGTCATTAAGGCTAATGTGTGGCATTTGCTGTTGCATTTTTTTTGTTTGTTTTTGGTTTGATTTTGGTTTTGTTTTTAGAGACGATATCTCACTGTGTTGCCCAGGCTGGAATACAGTGGCTATTCACAGGTGCGATCATAACACACCACAGACTCTTGGGCTCAAGCAATCCTCCCAGCTCAGCCTCCCGAGTAGCTGGGACTACAGGTACGTTCCACCATGCCCAGCTTTGCTTTGGGTTTTGTTTAAGGGGTTTATGTTCAGAAATTTTATATGTGTATATATTTTCTTAACAATAAAATGCATTCAGAACTCCAAATAACTGACTTGTAAATGGACTTCTGGAACATCACCAGTTGTGTATATATGGTCTTTTACATAATTATTTTATCATACGTCTTAATATCTTTTCTACATGTAAACTCCTTGAAGGCAGAGGTCATGACATTTTTTTGAATGCCCCATGGCAACCAGCCTGCAGCCCAGAATACAGCAGAGCTCAGAAATGTCTAGGATGAAAAGATACTGTGTCTGGAGATTTGCTCTGAAGCGATCCAATTTGAAGTGGGAGATGAAAATGGGGTAAAGATGAAACAGAATTGGCCACATGTCAATCATCATTGAAGCTAGGTGATGGGTACATGGAGTTCATTATATTGTTATTTCTACTTTTTTGTATTTTTTTAAATTTCTATAATCAAAAGTTTGGGGTTTTTTAATGTTTGTTTAATTGATCGTTCAACAACATCAGAGAGAGAATTGGAATAACAATGGTGATGAAAATGGAATACATATGCATCAAGGCCACTTTTGTAGCTCCCAAAATTTAAAAGCATGGGTCTCAAAATTAGGCAGGCTTAAATACAAATCCTTTTTAGCTTAGTGACCTCAAACCAGCTATTCAACCCCTTCAAAACTCAGTTTTCTTTTATAAATAAAGATATTATATTAATAACCTCAAAAGGTTTTAGAGAAGATTAATGGGTGTAAAATTCAGTGCCTAGCACTTAGGAGCACTCAATAAAGAGTCAACAAACATCATTATCATTCAATGATGCACACTCTTGCCAAGCTCCAGCCCACACTGTCTGGTGGTGAAGATCCAACACTCTCCCACTATGACTGATGCTTCAGTTAATCAGCTTGGGTACCAGACAACTGCTTGGCAGAAGACTCGGTAGAACAGATGTCAGGAATTATGTTTCCTATACCCAAAAGAGAAAACAGATAAGACCACAGCCAAGGACAAAGCCTGTAGCTCCTGCCCTTCCTCAACAGATCACCAAAGAGGCTTAATTCTATCACCCAATGACGTAATCAAGAAACAAGAGTGATGAAGTCCTTAGAACAGTGGTTCGAAACTTTGACCAAATACTGGCATCACCTGGAGAGCTTGAAAAAATACAATGTCTGGGTTCCGATCCCAGAATTTGATTTAATGGTCTGGGATGTGGCCCGGGTATTGGGACTTTGAAAAATCTAATGCACAACGTTGCTGCTGCGGAAGGAAGATGAGCCACTCGTGTGTGTGAGTTGGGTCGGGGGTGGAGCCCCTCCATAAATTTCAAGAGAGGGTTACTGCGTAATATTCACAGGCCTAAAATATGTTATTAACACCAGGATGTGTACCTATCAATATTCTAAAGAATATTAAAGCAATGTAGTTTGTCTCTCGGTTTTGTTCTTGGGGAAAAAAAAAGCCCAGCTAAGTGGTGGTGCAGGTTGGGGGAAGGAGAAAGCATCTGTCTCGGCGTTTTGGCAGCCTGTCACTGTGACTGAAGCACACTCAGAGAGGCAGCCTCGTTTTGTGAAGTTATTGCAGTGTCTTTGATCAGAGGAAAGGCACATCCATTTCAATCACTTTGGCTGGGACGGGCCTGCTGTCTGGCTGTCTGGCTGCCCACAGGGGCGAGCCTACAGACACATGGCAGTGCTTAGCGTGTCAAACAAATGAGCGGGTTCTTGACTGTCTACACAACCTTTGCTGAACTTCAGGGGCCCTCTCATTTAGCAATTCAGCCTGGACTAATCTGGAAGTTCCTTTCCCCCAGCAAACACCACCTGGTCCAGCCTGGCCTCGACAAAACAAAAGCCGGCCAGCAGGCTGTCTGTCACGAGGCAGCAAACACTTCAGAATCCGGAGGGCAGGGGTCAACTGTCCTCATAAGCAACACACCCAGGATTACACAAGCCTTGAGAAAGGGAAAACCGATGTCACAGACTCTCCCCTCCCCTCTGTTACCTGTACCCTGTCTAAGCGCAAACTAATCTGAGAGAGGTCTGATTTCTTGCCCCCACCCCCTGACATGAATTCTTAGCAATGCAGTTTCAAATATACACAAAGATCACCTACATTCTTCTTACTAGAACAAATAGTCAATAAAAAAATTGATGAGAGAATTCATCAATTTTCAAACGTGGGGAGTTTCAAGTTTAAAAGATTTTGGTTTTTTTTTTCCTTAATTGATATCAACCATAAAATCCTAGAAAGATTTGAGTAGTAGAACCACAGCAGAGATGGGAATAATGATGATATAAATATTTATATAGCATTTACGTGTTCCAAGTGTTTTCCATGTGTTAACTCATTTAATCCTCATCACAACCTTATGAGGGAAGTTATATTAATAGTCACTAATAATAGTAATATATAATGATATATATAACATTATGATTACACACGATTATTATTATAACACATAACAATAATGGAGATATCAACCTCCGATCTTCAGAGATGAAACTGTGACCCTGAAAAGCTCAGGGACCTGCCTGAGGTGGTGGGGGCTGGGCTTCACGCCCAGGCAGTCTGGCTCCAGAAGCGGCACTAACCACAGCACCAGACTGCCTCCTTCCAGTGCCACCGCAGAGCCTCTAGGACAGGTGCCAGTTCAGAGAGCAGCAGAGTAGGGAGGTCTTTGCGGGGCTCTGGAGTCAGGGACATCTGGGTTTGAACCAGCTCTGCTACTCCACACCCCACTGCTGTTGCATCATCTGTAAACAGGGGTAAAACACCTACCTCACAGGCTATGCGAGGCTTAGAGGAGAAAACAGATAAAAAGCACCTCTCCCAGGGTTGGCAGCTAAGGTCAGTTTAACCCAGCGGTTCGTGAGCCTGTTTGCACATTCGAATCAACTGGGAAACTTTTAAAACACCGATATTCAGTTCCGCCCATCTCTCTACATTTCCACCCCAACAGGCAGTCAGTCAGTCTCAAATCAGTAATCCCCCGCACCCTGCCCAGAAATGAAACCCAAGACCCCTCCGGACCAAAGGCCAGATAACACCCTTTGCCCCATTGATTCAGAATTACAGGGAAGTTTTTAAACCCCTGAAGCCTCTGCCCCAGCTCTAAGAGACAGGGATTCCCCCAAACGCTGCTCAATTAAACAATGAAAGTCGCAGGCACTGAGACCCGTCCCCAACCACTTGGCTAAGCTCGCCCTTGTCCAGCGACCTTCCCCACTCCCATCGCCACAGCACCTCCATCCAGAGGGCACACATCTCACTGAAGCCTCCTCCCCCGACCCATGCTACCTCCCACCTCAGCCACAGCCCCTGTGTAGGAGGGGGCAGCCCAGGGCTTCCCTAAGGAGCACCTTACTGTCCCGCCACTGCCTGTGTTTTAGAAATAGTCTGTGCCAACATCAACACGGTCAGCATTCCTTTTCTACAAAGCACTACCCGGAAGATCATGCGGGATGAGAGGTGGGACGGCCTGAAAAGAGGTTTGAAAATCTGAGTGCATGCATACCCACGCACGCCCGCGTGTGCACGCCCGCGTGTGCAGACACACGCACACACGCGCACACACACGCTCGCTCGCTCACTCCAACAATCATAGAACACTTTGTGCTCAAAGAGGGCCCCGCTTCATTCAAGGACTGGGGCTGGGAAGCAGGGAGTCCAGAGGGGTAGCAATAAACAGTGAAGCGAATGCCGGGGTTGCCCATGGAAACTGGCAGGAATAAGAAAAAATCATGAGCCCACGTCTGACAGAAGAGAGAAGCGCAGGTCTAGCCCTCCGAGGAGAGGGCCCGCAGGGAGGACGGACCGAGCCATGCCAGTTTCCTGGCTCAGACGTCCACGCCTCTTTTCAAGACCCACTGCCAGTTGGCAAGAGGTGGCGTGGAGGGCCCGGGACGGGGAGGTAGCACGGGGGGGAGTTGAAGAGCCTTTCCCTCAGCAGTTTCCCAGAAAGTGGAGGCGCCAAGCGGCCCCTCGGACACCTCCCCTGTGCCTGAGTCCAGGAAACGGGCCCGGGAGAATCGTCCGAGGTCTCACCTGGGTAAAGGAACCGTCCTCGCTGCACTCTGGGACAAACACAGCCTCCTGAGGCTTCTTGGCTTGCTCTAGGGCTTGAGCCCGCTCCAGGCGACACTTGCTCTGGCCAGCATCTAAAAGGGGAGAGGAGTGTATTTCATATTTCACTTGGATTCCGCGCTGGAGCCACGGGACAATATGGCTGGCCCGTGTAGAAACGCAGAGGAAGCCCCTCCACCTGGGGGGAGCCGCACCCCCAGCGGGCTTGTCTGACAATCAAAGGGCAGTGGCTAGCGACTGTCGCTCAGCCCACCTTCCTTGTAAAGTTATCCTTAGAAAAACGGGGAGTGGAGGCTTCATGTTTGTACCAGCTTCTGCCTGTCTTTTCTCCCAAGTACCCACCCCTACCCTAACCCAGAAAAAAAATGTTTCACTTCCATTATTTTTCACTTGGTTTATTCTATTAATACAAGTAGTAAGCCCGAGGGGGCTCGAAGATGTTTTATGGTTCAAGAATTGCAAATACTTTCTTTAGAAAATCAAAGGCTCTAGGGCAGCCTGCTTAGCCTGCTGCCACTCCTGTGATGGCTCTAAGAAGTCCAGGGTCACACACTCAAATATCTACAGGACTCAGGAAGGTGACATAAGTTAGAGAAATGAGCCGGGTATGAGAAGAATGGCATTTAGTTCTGAGAGACTATAGGGAGTGCTGAAGACTGCGGCAAACTGGAGAACAGGGTCCCCTTTAAAGCGGGTAGTAGCTACTCAGCTCTAGCCTTCTGTTGCTTTGCAGGAACACAGACCTAATGTTACCAGAACTTCCAATTTTGGAAGAAAAGTACAAAAAGCCAGATTTTTATGTTGAATCTCCCAATATTTAAATGTTGAACCAAATGTTTTTAAACATGTGAGCAGACCAAATAAAACATATCTGTCAGCCAACAATCTGGAATCCCTGTTCAGGAGCCAGCAATAATGTCTTGCCATTTTAAGTATCTCTATTAAAAGAAAAGAAAAAAGAAAAAAAGAAAAGCACTAGCCAGACAGCAGCACATCTCTCTAAGTCCTAGCCTGGTGGCAGTGTTTGCAAGACAGAAAAGCGCTCACTGCTTCAGGTAGACCAGTTCTCCCTCCCTATGCCCCAGTAGAAGGGGTAGAGTGAGAGGACAGTAAACCAAATGGACAGACTCATTCCAAGCTCCCCCTGGGGAGTGCACAGTGCGGGGAGCTGTGGTGCCTAGGAGCCTCTCCTTGGCTGGGCAGGGGCGTACACTCACCTTTGCATTTACCTCGGTGTACCACGCCTAGGGTCAGGTCTCGGCACTTGGCTCGCTGGAACTCACACATGGACTCGTAGGACCTGCCATCTGAGGCACAGATGGGTTTGGGTTGAGTCCTGGAGCAGTGGAGGTTGCACTGAGGGTCACGGTCACTTATTAGAAACTAGATTGGAAAAAAGTAAAAGAGAATAGGGGTTACTTTTGCAAGAAAAGTAGGGTGAGTCTATGACTTACAGTACTAGTTTGCCCTTGGGAAGCAAGTCCCAAATAAACCCAAAGTTGTTAAACCCTAGAGATGAAGGGAACTTAGCAGCCACAAAGTCTAACCAAGGAAGGCATTCTCTATACAGCATAACAACAATAATGCCTAAGGATAACAGACCATTAACAGGCACTGTGCCAAGTAATTCACATGTAGGGTCTCAGTCCTCACAACAATCCTATAAAATAAGAACTGTTTAGTTTGTAGACAAGAAAACTAAAGACCAGAACGCGGTAATTTTCCCAATGTCACATAGCTATAAGTGATAGAGGCTGATTTTGAACCTAGATCTGCTGCTGGAAGTAAAATCAAAGCTTTAACCATCCATGCAGATGGTCATGCACTCCCCTATTTGGGTACTTCCTCAAATCAGGAACTCACTATAAATCTCCAAGTTCCATCTTTGTAAAGCTTTATTTATTAGACAGTATTGAGCCCCAAACCTACCACCCTTCAATTTCTTCCCACCTCTCCCTGGCAGAATACAGGTTAAGTGATTTTCTGTGGGAAAGGGATTTCCTGATTTTAAAAACAGCAATAATAATCAGCGTGGGCAATGCTGAGGAAACACATTTCTTTGGTGCAGGATTTCTCAGATAACTTTGAAACATGCTTATGCATTATGAACCTCCAGGAGGTAAAGCAAATTAAAGATAGCTGCAAATTATTCACTGCTCCTCCCATAGAGCTATGGAATCTAATGTCCTCCCCTTGAATCTGGACTGGCTGGCCTCAGAAACCTGCTTGACCAAGAAAATGCTGTGGAAGTGATGTTTTGGGATTTCTGACTAGGTTATACAAAGCCTTGCAGCTCCCTCCTAGGCCTCTTGCAATCCTCACTCTGAGGAAAACCAGCCACCATGTAAGAAGCCTAACAACCCTGTGACCACCATACTGTGAGGAAGGCCAAGTTAGCATGTGTCAAAACCATATGGAAAGAGAATGTCCAACCAGCCCAGGCACAGAGATATGTGAGTAAAGATGAGTCTAGCTCCACCTGTTATCTGATTGCAAGTAATAAAAATGAAAAATAAGTACAGTTGACCCTTAAACAACACAGGTTTGAACTGCATGGATCCACTTACATACAGATTTTCTTCAACCAAATGTGGATTGAAAATACATTAGTCATGGGATGCAAAACCCTTGTATACGGACAGCAACTTTTTATACATGTGGGTTCAGCAGGGCCAACTATACAACTTGAGTAGGCATAGATTTTGGTATACTCAGGGGTCCTGGAACCAATCCCCTGCATATACTGAGGGATGACTGTAATTTCATGAGAGACCCCAAGTAAGAACCACCCAGCTGAGCCCAGTTAACCTACAGAACTGTGAGAGATAACACTAAATTGTTTAAAGCAGTTATGTTTCGTGGTCATTTGTTATTGGCAATCAATAACCAGATTAAGAAGCATACACAAAGAAGCATCTTTCAAACTCATTTGATCTTGAGCACATTTATCAGTGAACCTCCTGTTAACTATAGAATACAGTTGGAGAACAATAATGGGCCATTGCAATCTATGTGCTTCTGGTCAATAACCCATAATAGATCACATGGGCCTTGAGAGCTAGATCCACTCTCTCTCACTCCCGTATGGCAGAGCCCTGGGCACACTGGAGGATCTTTAGCAGGAAGGGTTAGAGGATCAATATCCTGCAATAATGCACGGCAACGTTGGGAACACACATCTGGCCGTTGGTAATGCTAGAGTTGACTGTATACTCACACCAAGCTCACAGAGACTTTGGGAAAGTGTGAATACAAGCCCCGTCTCAGACATATTTGCAGGCCCTTTGTGTGAAGCACACAGATGAGACTTATTGAAAGTAGTACCACACCCTCCCAGGGAGCACTGGAAACACACACCCCACACTGGCCAAACTCCAAGAGAGTCCAAGCCTGTCCATGAGTACACAGACCACAGGCCAGCCATAAAGCCAGTCCTTCCCGCCACCCTGACCTCATGCCTGGGTGCTGGCTGCTTAGCAAGGGGAAGGCCATCTGCGGGCCGACACCACTACACAGGCCTAGTCGGGATGGACGGTGCAACTTGGCCGTCTCACAGGTTAAACCTGAGTCCTGCCCAAGGCCCCAAGGGAACTATCCTGGCAGTGTCTCATGAGCACAGCATTTGGTAGAGTCTAGTGTTCAGGGCAAAAATAAATAACATATAAAGTCATATCGAGAGGAAGCCACTGCCTCCCAGGCTGCCACACAGAGGAGGGATGAGTTGATGAGGATGGCAAGAGGGGACAGTGTTGTCCACAGTCAACCCCCTCACAGGACCCCCAGCCTCAGCTCCCTCAGGTTGCCCCTTGAGTGGTGTCCACTGCCCTTGAGGACCTTCACACAGTCGCCCGAGCCAGGCAGAATCTGTCCCTGGGGACACCCCCTCCAACCCAGACTTTGCTCTGGCTCCTCTGTCGCCAGCTCACTGCTGTGGGGGCACAGTGGCCTGCTCTCCACCTCCCAAACTAGCTCCATTCCCTCCACCTCCAGGCCTTCAGACACGCCGACCCTTCTCCATTCCCTGCCACCCTGCTTCAGACGCCAGCTCACGCCATCTCTTCTGGGAGGTGTTCCCGACTCTCACCGGTGAGGACGGGTCCCCTGCAATAAGTTCTCACACCTCACTTTTCCTTCATGGCCCGTGACACAGCTTGTGATGATGACTCTATTTGTATGGTTTGATTAGCAATGGAATCCCCAACTGAGCTGCACGAAGACGAGGATGATGTCTATTTTGCCTGGAACAGCCCCCACCCAGCGTCTAGCACCATGCTGGGGCACCCCATTATTTGTGGGATGAATGTATCGCTGAGGGGCATTTTCCACATGGCATTACCTCAAACCCTGCTGGCGTGGCATGACAGACCTGGCCTCCCAGCTTCCTGCCAGGGCGGGGATCCCTGGGGCCACTCCCCCACCCCCATGCTCTGAGCCTTGCTTTCTCAGGCCACATCCCCCCTTCACCCCCGCTATGGCATTACACACGGGCACAGGTAGCCCAGCGCGTCCTGTCCTCACGCCACCTCGGAACAAGATCTCTTATCAGGAACATCTCGCAGTGGGCCTGAAGTGCCTGGACGGCAGGGCTGCCTTATCTGGATACTCAGTGTTCAGTGTCTGGCGCACACAGTAGGCGCTTGGTAAACAGTTTTTTACTTTGTGAAGTCATTTTTGCAACGGGATTAGTGTTTCCGTTTACAGTATTGCTCTGTGACAATGAAAGGCAGTGCATCCCAGTGGTTAGAAGCATGGCTCTGAGTCCAGGGGATGGGTGTCACTCCCAGATCCCACACCTACATTCTGTTTAATCTTGGGAAAGTTGCCTAACTTCTCTGGGCTTTAGTTTTCTCATCTGTAAAAGGAGGATAGTAGTAACATACCCTGTACCTCTTAGTATTGTGGGAAGATTAAATTAGTTAACATATCCTACATCACATATAGGTTCTTGTTCATCTTTTTTCTTTGGAATTTAAATGAGAAAAGGGGCTTTTTAAAGAGAATACACAGAAAAAAAGGAGGGAGAGAGAATGACAAAGTTTCTTTTTAAACCCACTGAGGCTGCCTTGCCGTCTACTCCACAGTTCACGGGAAAGGGGAGCTGCAGGCATCCCTGTGGGGTTGAGCCATGGGCCATAAATTCAGTTTGAAAATTGTTTGCTCTGCGCCAGCAGAGACGCCACAGCACTTGTGCCAGAGACCAGCTTAATAACAAGAGGAACACTCTGTCTGCAAACAGACAGGTTAAAGAGCTCCAGAAGCCCCACCTAGCCCAGCACACGGAGATCGTTCTCAGCTTCGGAAGCGCTCCCAAAAGATTCCTGTCTAGAAATCACCAGTTCTTGAGGCCAAGTAAAAAGTTCAAAGACAGCATGGGGCCATTGCTAGAGACCATTTTCAGCTGACTGTGGGGTCTCGTTTTCATCTGTGTCAAGAACTGTGTGTATTTGTGATTGTTTAAAAACAAATAAACAAACAACAACAACAAAAAAAACCCAAATAAGTCCGTAAAATGGAGCTTAAACAGAATGACTATGCCCTAATAGGATCACTCAAACCTCCGGGGCCCGAAAGGGATTATTTTGTGTCCACAAACACTAAGAAAAAGGTAATCCTCCAGCTTGTTCATCCATCTGTTCTTCTACTCTGTACTCAGTAAGTGAGCATCAACAGTGAGCCCAATACGCTCCCAGGCAGAGGAAGCAACACATAACCAACATAGTCTCTGGCCTCAGGGAGCTTACACTCTAGGGTGGAGACAACAAGCAAGTTGACATTTACCATACAGCATGGTAGCAGGATACCACAGAGACACTAAGATAGAGATACCAGGAGAGGACTTAGTCCTAGGGACTCAGGAATGCACCAAAGCCACGCAGTGCAACAGAACTTCCCACAATGATGGAAATGTTCTATATCTGTGCCATCCAATATAGTAGCCACAAACCACTTGCGGCTATCACACACTGAAATGTAGCTAATGCAAGTGGGGAACAAAATATTTAGTTGCGTTTAATTTTAGTTAATTTAAATTTAAATGACCACATGTGGCTAGTGGCTGCCATATGCAACAGCCCAGCTACAAAGCAAACAAACCAAGAGAGAGGAGGAGATGAGGAGAGTCCTCAACCGAGTTTTTCCTACTTGAGCCAGGCTAAGACTGATTGGACTAAGGGAAAAAAAGAAGTCAATCCTGAGAATAACATCTGCATTTTGAAACTAGACAGTAAATCAGTTCATTACTTATAGGTCAACAGCCAGGATATCCCAAGAGTCTGTCACAGTCCACCTGAAGTCATGAAGGTGGCTTTTTCCTCTCTTCTTGCAGGAGACAGGAGTCCAGACTAGCAGTCCCCAGCACCAGCCTGTGGTCTATGTCAGTTCTC